CCCCCCAAACACAACACTGCTTCTGCATAATCTCCCAGGACCTAAAGTGTGCAGGCAACATAGACACAATTGTCAAAAGGACCCAACAAAGGATGTACTTCCTCAACTCAGAAAGTTCAATCTGCCTCATGTATATATAGTAATATATTAATTTAACTATATTAATTCAATATATTGATCAACAGGATTTCAATTTCAAAAGGTAGGCATAAGGCATATCTTACCTGATTGATTTTTATTTATTTATTTACTTCTGATACTCTTTTATTTGAAACTGTGGAAGTTGTAGGGATTAAAATATGAGCAGCATAAATATTCCTGTTGTTACTGTAACCCGAGAACATGTGGCAATGGGGACAGTGTAAATGAATCCTTAGTTTGGAAGCACTGACAGTGTATCTGATCACAGCTTACCCAGCTGTCAGGCACGCTGACAATCGTCCTCAAACCTGCCTCCGTAACACTAGCAAAGACAGGAAACACCCCTCTGAATGGACAGCTGACATCCCACCATTGCAGTGCGCTGGTGCTGCACAAAGGCTCCTCTGTCATCAGGGAATTCAAAACATATCCCCCATCTACTCCGGGAGAGTGATGGTTTTAAGACAACAGCATAATTTCCAGAAATTGTTAAATACATGACTAGAACATAAAATATAACTCTTTTTGTGCTGACCATAAAAAGTGAAAAAATAAAAAGTTTACTTAGAGTTTGTATACCAAGCTAAAATTTCCATCAAAGAAGTGACTATATTTATCCACAAAGTGTAAATGATTCTAGGCTGGCGCCCCATCCTGGATTATTCAATGCCTTGCGCCCATAGCTTCTGGGAAAGGCCCCGGTCCCCCCACGACCCTGGACAGAACAAGCAGGTACAGAAAATGGATGGATATAAATGTTTCTTGTTCTGTTAACTCCGATCACAACGCGACGAAAATTTCAAACTGAGGCAGAGCGAGACTGTTGAATGTTTTATTACAAATACATATTGTCAATTTTGCAATATTAGTAATGAAACAAAAGAATAGAAATATTTGGGTTGTTTGTTTATCTACAGCTACAAACAAACAGCCCAATAATTACGGCTTATGCGATAGTCCCAGATAGATATTGCAGCTTTCATTCATTCAGCCCTTTCACTGTAGCTCGGCATAAAATGAGCAACACAAACTATGGCAGCATACAATGCAAGTTTCTTGATGGATACATTTACACTGTTTTGCACTCTGCATTATCCTACCAACAAGGACTACATTCATGTTTTACAGAATGCAACTAAGTTCACATAATATTGCTCCCTGAGCTAATGCGGATTGTTCTTTCCTACATCATTATGGAGTGTAATAATAATAATATAATATGTAATATTATGTAATATATGTAATAATAATAATAATACACCTGATGGAAAATTCACCTTCTATCCTTTCAACTTTTTATGAATGATTTTTGTTTATGAGACAAAGTTCACACAATGAATCGCGATATATCAACATGAAATGTTTAATGTTTCTTCAACTGATTTTTAAAAATCGCCTTTAAGAGATTATGGCCTTTTTAAAATATGCATTTAATGGTGGGACTAGTACATTCCTATTGCGTAAATATCCCAGTAGAGTAACTCCACACTGCCGTCTTGTGGCCATAACTTACACTGCACCTATTTCTGAGTCCGCTCTGCTCGACTTGTCAAACAACGAAGGGAATGGGTAGGCTGCATAATGGTCATAGTCTGGCTACAGGTAAGGTGACCAAACAGAGAATATTTGACATTCAGATTAGGGGGAAACTCATTTGTACAAACACAGACTCATTTGGCACCCCTGCATTCCATCAGAAGCCAAGATGTAGGAACACAGTGACTCAATTTGGATCAGAGTCAGTAGACAGCCCTGGCAGCTCCAGTTTCCAGTTCTGTTTACACAATCAGGTCCCAGCTTAAAACATCTAAAATGTAACATGTAACTCACATAAACTGCTTTGTATATTCTCAGTAATTTCGTTTATGTAAGTCTAAATGTGACTGTAATAAATTTCTTCATTAATTTAAGAAGTTTAAATTATTCATATACCTGAGTACGTGCCGACCTAAAGGTGTACTATGGTCCTTGGGGTCTGAAACAGTAATAAAATACTCTGTGTAATGAAATTATTTTTACACTGATTCTTGTATAAGTGTTCTAAAAAAGTGACTTGTTACATAGTGTGCTTCGATTGATGATAGTGAGACACTCTTTTGCTATCTTCCCATTAACGTTGCACATGCCAGATCATTCCTGAGGAGGCCCAGCATCAGAGAAGCCGCCCGGCTAGCAGGCCTGCCCGGAATGCTGTAATCCCAGCAGTGCACATTGTTTCTGCATTCTGCTTCCTCCCTCCATCTGGTTCTCATCTGGAGAATTCTTTCCGCACTTTCCTGGGAAAAGCTATGAATCTTAATAAGCCACAGATTCTCCACGAAACCACTCCAGAATGATCTGCTTGTTTTCCTCCACCCACTTAATGTTAGCTTCTGCCCTTTCGATGGCGTGCTCAAGAGCCCACAGCGCGGAACCAAAGTCTTCCTCTCCGTGGTCCGACAGAAACTGTGTCAACTACACCAGGACAGAGGATTGGAGAGAGAGAGTGGCTGAACAGCATCCTACACAAACACACTAAGCACATTAGCTCATAGCATCAGGATGTTCTGAATCTTGATGGTAAAAATGTCTTTTTTTCAGGTGCTGAAGACAAAGAGAATGTCAAAGGTTTAAGATTAAGTGAGAGGGCTGTGGGATTTATTGTGAGTTTTACCTCCTGGAGTTCAGTTTCTGAGGAGAATCGTTCTGTCACTGCTTCGATTACGGCGCCTAATATTAGTTCCTCACCTCCGAATCTGAAAGTAGTTTTGAAAATTTGCTCATAAAAGCAATTACAGCACAACAATAACAATACAGTCAACACATGCAAAACCATAAAAGAACAATATTGATTCAGCAGCTTTGCTGCTTGGATACCTGGTCAGGTGTGACTTTAGTTAAGTATGGTTCTTAAAAGGTCCTTTGGTAGCACTTTCATAGTGCATTATAGATACTTTCATAATGCATTAAAATGCATTCATAAAGTATCCTAAACACAGCTATAACTATTTATAAAAAGGCAAAACACATTATACCCATGTTTTTTATGCATTATTAATGCCCTATGAAGCTCTCATCTATAATGCACTAAAGTTACATTCATAGCACATTATAATGGTCAGTATAAGCCATTATAATGCATTATGAAGGTATTTATAGATATTTATATATCATTAAAGATAAGAGCATCATAAAGCATTCATAATGCGTAATAAACATGGCTATAATGTGTTATGCACTTTATGAATACATTATAATGCATTGCGAAGGTTTGTATAATGCATTGTACATGAGTACTTTAAGTAAAGTGTTACCGGTCCTTCTTTCTAGCCTGAACTGAGGTATACCATTACAGCCTCTGAGTATCAATCATTGCAAATTAATGACAGCCTTGTACCAGCTCTATATGCTTCCTGTGCTGTAAAGGCAACAGAAAAAAACAGATAAAACAAAACTAACTTGTGTTTTAGGTTTGTCCACTGCTTCTGGATAAAGTCCCAGACTAAAGAATGACCTGCCACATTATTGGTGATGGATTTCATAATGGAATAAAATTCAGTCTTCTTTATCTTATCCAGGTCCAGAGTGTATTCCAGGAGTCTAAAAAGCAAGAATGAATTTTTTTTTCTCATATCCTGGCAATGTCTATGACACATGGTGCAGAATACTTCGATTATTAAGAGCTAACCTTTTCAGGATCTCGGTATCCTTGGTGCAGGACAGCGCACCTCTCAGAATGTCTTTCTCTGCCTCAACAGTGGTGTTCTGAAACAACTGCCACAAAAACTCCCACTCCTGCTGACCTCCGGCAGCTATGGCAGCACAGAAGATGGGTGATCGCAAGTTTGGGTGGACCCTACAATAGATAAGACTTCACTACAAGCTCGGCTGAATCTTACAATAGATATGATGTTCGGTATAACTATGATCGGTGAAAAAAACATAATGTTCTGCACCATTTTGAAGTGGGGTTCTGTTTCCATTGATTGAATGTGTCAACGGCCATCTTCTGGCATTTAATTAGACCACTGCCGCATGCCATTCCGATGACTATAATCTGGAGCTCCCTGTAACAGAACAGAAAGACAATTAGCATTTTTAAAACATTAAATTTGGCCGAGCAGCTCCGTGTTAAGGTGCAAACAGACGCGGGGCTTACTGCGCAGTGAGTTGCTCAGGGATGGATGAATTCATGGTGAAAGCTTCAAAATGGTCATAAAGCGGGCTGACCTGCTTCCTCATGTATGCCTAAAATATGATGTCGTGTAATAAAAACATCTCCTGAATTTTTGTAACCCACTACAGCTTATTTTGACAACAAAGATTCCCTATCAAGAACTGACCTCAATGAAGCTATAGTCTTCTGAACGATCTAACATCAGAATGATGTGATTAAGTTTAAGCCTGGCAGTCGCCCAGGGACTTAATTCCATATCCTTGTGTAGGTACTTGGTAAAGCTGAGAGCCAAAGTGATATTGACATGCCTGGCTCTAGGTCAAAGAAAGAGAAAATCATTATAATATGAATTAAGTCAGGCAGAGAAAGGTACACAACATATCACAGCATAGCAAATGTCCCATTTTTAAAGTGAAATATGGGTGATTAACAGCGATGAAAAGTTACGCTGCAAAAACACAACCACTTACTAAATAGTAACATAAATCACACGTTCGTGTTGACCTTCAGACAATTAAGGTCTTCATGATATCTGTTTTTATGGAAACCATGTACTGTGATCAAAAAAGCATGTTTAATATTTAATAGCATACGCATAAATAAACACTGGCAAGACACACACGCACACAGGTCTGACTGACATTATAAATATGCATGTTTTACACAAATACATTAGAGTTTAAGGGAAGTGGATGATCTCAGCATAATAATTACGGGCAAGGGTCTGTAATTGGTAGGTTAGTGATTTCGGGATGTATCTAATATCCAGTCCTGCCCTCCGGTACCTGCATTAGCTGGATAATTCAGTGGCGTTGCTCTGGTGAATGATGTTTAAATGTGATACGTTGCTTTGAATGAACACATCCACTAACCAATATAATAATAGTAATTTACAAAGAATGGTATGTGAACATGGGTTACACATAAATTACAGAACATCCAACACAATAAAAAAACAGCATTTTCCCCGAAGGTCAGGCAGATCTGACGAGCATGACGGCAATGCTGAACTTACTCTGCTAGTTCAAATGCGTCGTCAATAAGCTGTGCTCTGTTGACAACGGGAATCATCTAGAGAATTGCAAATAATGTTTTTAGTGCATTATAATGATTTCAGCAACAGATATCAAGTACCTTCTCTTGGGGGACAATTTTACTCTCTCTGTAATCGAATGTGCGTTGCCCTGGAGAGTTTTATATTTCCGCGATTACATAAGAAGAACCGCGAAATAATCCGTTGGTGAAAGATTAAACATATTTCTCTTTGCATTTCTCTGTTTTCATTTCCTTTTAAGAATTTGCTGCTGAACTTGTATGAAAGGATGCATTTATTCATCTGTAAGGCTTCTACTCACAAAAAAATATCTAGATGGTGATTGTTATGATTGTTGTCCAAAGGGAACAACACAAATCGTGAAGCATGAAATTAATGAATATTTACATGGTGGTCTGTGCCAAGCTGCCGCAGAAGCCTCTCCCAGTTCTCCGGGTCGTAGTTCACTCTGTAGTATCCAGTGCAGTTGACGTTGGCTAGGATCCATTCATTGTTATTTGACTGATATATTGGTTTTGAAACTGCAAGGAACAACATTATATATATAAAGGCTGCTTCTCCGTTTGAGTTCACGCTTTCGTTTTCTGTCGTCTTTCTTATTTATTTTACTTCTCCACATGCGCGAGAAGATCCAAAACAAGAATTTAAGTAATGTAGTAGATTACATCTGCGCTATAAATATTATGCATAATTTATTGTGAAAAAATATTAAAAGCAAAAAAGAAACATTTATTACCGGGGCCATTTACAGTCAGTAGGTCCTGCGTTATTTCCTGCGAACCAGACTTGAGCAGTTTAATTGGAACTTGCCATGTTATGCTGTGCCAGAGAAACGGATGAAAACGACCACAATGTTATACAGTACTTACGATATCCGCCATCACAGAAAAGCTACTGAACAAACTTGAAAACGTTCTCACATTATCAAAAAAATAAAATATATTAAATTGCTGTCCACACTTTGTTGACACAAGGCACATTCAGGTTCAAAGCGCAAAGCAAAGGACCTAACATGGTGGGCGCCAAATTTAAAACTGTCATGAAGTGACTCACTTGTATCGAGCGCTTTCGTTGAACATAAAGTGCTCCTGAGATATGTCTCCAGACGAGGTGTTGATGGTAATAAGAGGAAACCCTGGTTGTTTAGTCCAGGACTCCATCATGTCGGCAACTTGAGTGGTGTCGTTGTTGCTTTTTACCGCCTGGACACGATTTTAGCGATTTCAGTTCTTTTTATACTCCATTGATGAAAGCGTTAGGACAAGCTCAAGTAATCGCCATATAATCCACGCCAGGAATTTGCCCATACATACTCTCTAATATAATTGTATTTATAACAGGGCATATGAGGGTCACTACACATTTCTTATTATATTCACTATCATAACATGTGCAAGATGTTCTTGGTGGAAATGTGTGTAATTAAACTTACTTCCTGTATGTGTCTCCAGAGATCCTGGTATTCTGCGTTGTTATATTGGTATGCCTTCAGATAGGACTAAAAGGACACATTTGTGCAAATTAGAGAAATAACAAATCAGTATTTTAAAATCAAGTTACTATATTGCAGTAATAACATTTAGAGTTTGTTCAATACTTCAGTTCACCTGGCTTGTGAAACATGCTAGAAGGGATTTTCAATATTTTCTCATTACGAGTAAGAAAAATATATATTAGCAGACAATTCTACTGCTACTGCTAGACTTGGCTGGGCACGATTACATCTGTGTTTAATTTGACACACACTTCAGTACATCATTTTCATTTGGTGGCCAGAGTAGAGTGAAAAAAGCACCTCCTACCTTTACACCGCTGACAAAGACCGTCTCCGACACGTAACTAGACAGCATTCTCAACACTACTGCCCCCTGGAGCACAAAGATACAGGTATTTGTCCTGTCTATCCATGTACTTTATGTGTATATTGTTGCTACAATAATGTGCCACTTGACTTGATTTGACTTGAGTAAAAGTAAGTGACTAAAATCTATTTCTATTGCACTTTTCACAGACGCAAGTCACAAAATGCTTTACATGATCATTACGAGAGAAATTTAAAAGTCTACAACTCATGACACAATACATTACAAAAACAGAGAATAAACATTAACAAATCCCAATAAAATGCAGAACTTATGCAAACAGATTACCCCAAAGCCCATCTAGATAGATAAGTCTTGCGCTGTCTTTTAAAAACCATGTGTAAAACGCTGCAGACATCAGACTGTTAGCCAAGCACCTTGCTATAGGTGATGAAGTCAAACAGGTCCTCGATGTCACTGGGTGTAATGACCTCTTCCACTTCAGGAATGAGCTGCCGGTAGTTGTCTATGGATTCCACTTTAAGCAGGCCCAGAACCTCTCTGATGAAGAACAGTTCACTCTGAAAAACAAAATATGGAATGTAAAAGCACCTGAAAATGAAGTAGGGCAATGAAAAGGTTTAAATGAATAGAAAATGGGAGACGTACAAAATTCCAGGTTGGTTCAGCTTTATCCACACCAATGTATGACAGGTATGTGGCAAAGCCTTCATTTAGCCACACGTCATTCCACCATTCCATTGTGACCAGGTTTCCAAACCACTGGAATATTTAAGGAGAAATCAAACATTGGGTTAAGAGACAACTGCTTTTGGTTCTATAATACATTGTCATGAGATGTGAGATGAAGGACTCGAAGGCAGGTGTTTGGTGGAAAAAAAATGGGTTTATCGAACTGAATGGGAGCAGGGAAACAAACAAGACCATAAGGGTCAAAACAAGAAGGCAAGTACAGGGAAGGACACAGGCAGACAGGAGAAGCGACGTCAATGACTGGACTGGGGCTGATGAGGCAAACAGGTACTAAAATACAAAGACTGACAAGAGGTAACAAGCAACAGGTGTGGGTCATCAGGGCCATGTGAGGGACGAGACAGGAGGGTCAGGGGGTCATGACTGGCCGGATGTAACACACCCAACATTTTTAAACAAATTTCTGCCATTTATAGATTATTTTTTTTAATACAATATGTTCAAGAAGTCAATTTCCAAACATAAAAATTCCCTGTTTTATGAAATACAGCCGACCCTTCCACGTGGCAGGGGTTAAAGGAACAGGCCCCTCACGATTTGGGAAAACCACGAAAAGATATAAAATGTGAGATAAAAAGATCACTGTGAGATCACTGCATGTGAGTTAACATGCGAGAGGCTGCTGTAAGCACGCTTGGCGTCCTCCAGAGCAGCACCACATGTATTTTATGCATTTATGAATTGCTAAACTTTTTGTGTGTTGTCGCGGCTTTTGCAAAACTCAAAAATTCCAAAAAGAATACAATATACCTGATGCATGGAAATTGAAAGACATGCATATACAGTGGTACCTTGGTTTACGAGCGTAATTCGTTCAGGAAACATGCTTGTAATCCAAAGCACTCGTATATCAAAGCAAATTTTCCCATTAGAAATAATGGAAACTCATACGATCCGTTCTACAACTCAAAAATATTGATATAAAAATTAATACAAAATATAAAGTAAAAATACATAAAACAAATTAACCTGCGCTTTACCTTTGAAAAGAATCGTGGATGGTGTGAGGGAGACGAGAGAGGAGAAGAGGAGGGTTATTTTGTAGGACGACTTTCACTATAATTAACGGAATCACTGCTATCTGTTGGCTCACTGGAATCTTTTTCTGTTTGTGCGACTTTAACAAGGAACCCATCCAATGACAAAAATGTGGACATTGCATTGTCGTTAAACAGATTCATCGCTCGCACTGCTACGCCCTTATTCAGGTGGTGCTTTTCTACTAAATTTTGACTATACGGGTGAGGCATGCCGACTGAGACCGAGCATGGGAGACGATTACCCAAAATTCCGCAGCGTGAGAAAGTGAATAACCATTGGTTCAGTTGTGATGACGTGAGCTCGGCGTCAAAACAAGAAGCACACGCATGCGCTTCCTGTTTTGAAGCCGAGCGCACGTAAAAAGAAGAAAAACAAGGAGCGCATGTGTGCTATATGATTTTTGATGATACTTGGCGCTCGTAAACCAGGACTTGCTCGGTTTCCAAGTCAAAATTTATTACAAATCTTTGCTCGTCTTGCGGAACACTTGTAAACCGTGTTACTCGTAATCCGAGGTTCCACTGTACAGTGGTACCTCAGTTCTCGAACTCATTAGAACTCGAATTTCTTAAAAGTCGAACCAACCAGTTCGAAAAAAAAAATCATAGATCTCGATTTGAATCTCAGAAGTCAAACCGTGAACGCCGACCTAAGATAACTTGTATGCGCGGGGAAATGAGTCACGCTGCACGTCTCTCAGCGGAAACAAAGAGTAATGCTTCGGTCTAAGCCTTGCATTAGCTGTGATAGCATCGTGCATGTTTACACTAGCTGAGTCATATATTTAGACAGTAAAAATACATTTAGACAATGATAGACAGTACCAGTAATTAATATATAATAAAATACATTTAAAAATAAAGATTTCTTATTCATTATTTTAATATTAATAATAAATCATTAATACGTTTAATTATAATAATATTGTTGTGTCGACCGGGGACGGAACGGAGACAAAGGCGCAGACTTCAGGGTATACGGGGTTTAATTACAGGTAAGGCAGGCAAAAAGCAGATGAACAATACAATAACCGGACTGGGGAAACAAACTGAAACGCGGACGAATATGCGGAGGACTAATGACAACAACCAGAAACAGCTGATCACACGGGGATTCCACACGGAGTTAACGAGGGGGCGTGGCACATGGAAGGAGCGGACGATCGGAGCAGGACACATTGTTTGGATACATTTATTTTCTTACTTTACAAATTACTGTTTTGATAAATGTGCTTAGATGTGTTTAGTACAGTATATGCTCTTTTTGTTTTATCCGGTTCATTTTGTGTTTAAATGCTAAAATATATATATATATATTTAGGTGTAATTTTTGGGGGCTGGGAACCAATTAATTGGTTTTCCATTATTTCTTATGGGGAAAATTCGATCATAACACGAACTTTTTAGGATTCGATCCGGAGTTCTGAACGGATTAAATTCGAGTTCTGAGGTACCACTGTACTTGTGTTTTCAGCCAAAGATCATTAACAATTTCACTAACATGTTTCTCTGGCTGCTGTGTGATAGGAAACTCACACCCAAACACTAAAATAACTTTGCATATATGGTTACATTTGAAAAATCCAAGCCTGCATTAGAAACAGTATGCTTTCCTTCCAAACAATGCTTAATGGAAGATATTTTAATTCTTCTGTTGATGTTTCAGAAATTGCTGCCATGTCTGCTGATAAGAGACGTACGATGGATCTCACAGTGAGCACTGGGTCGAAAGCTCAGCTAATCCAGGAGTGATGTCAGTTCTACCTGATGAGCTATTTCATGGGCAATGATTTCAGCGATGAAGGCTTTGCGGGACGTCAGGGAGAAGTCTTTGTCATAAAGTAATGATGTCTCGTGGTAGATTATCAAGCCCCAGTTTTCCATACCACTTGCAACGTAATTCTGCACAGCAATCTGGTCTTATAAAGCAAACAGAAACATCATTTCACAAAATAAAACATAAAAAAAATTCAAGCATATTACAGCTCCGGGAATACCTCTCTGGAGTTCTACCTCAGATTTTAATCCAAAGTATTTTTTATTAACTTTTACTAAACTCCTCAGATGGGTTATTAAGTAAGTCGTGATTATATATTTAGTAAAAACACAAAGACTTACCCAGCTTATTCAAAGGATACTTTATGTCATAGAGATCTTCAAAGGACTCAAGGATGTTCCCAGTTATGCTGTGAGCGTAATCTACATGGCCAATGGCAATGGCGTCTGGACGTGCCCATGTCTGCGATAAAGACAATCGCTACCATCAAAGGGTGGGTACAGGGTGTCATGCCCTCTTTTGTGTGAGAATTCTGGTTGCTAGGTTCCTTGCCATTGACAACGTGTCTGTGGTCTCCAGGTTTTCCACTATTTTCCTGAGAGTGTGCAGTGTTGGGCATTTCAGGTCCAGAATCTACAAATCCAGACCAAGATTTTGTTTCTACCAACCTGTTGAGCATAAAGAGTTACAGTCACAGAGTACTCAACCGGTTGGTAGAAACAAAATCTTGGTCTGGATTTGTAATTTCTGGACCTGAAATACCCAACACTAATTGTGTCCAGATAGAAGGTGCAGAATTTGTGGGAAAGAAGAATTACATGAAGCCTATTTTACAAACACAGATAGAAACCAGGCAGGCTGACTATCTTTTGATCAACAGATAATGCAAAAAATACATGTGGTTACATTCCCAGGACTGCAGATGTGTGGACAGTTGTTTTACTTGAACAGGAGGGTAGGACGTGATGCTTTTGCTACTTGTGTTCCTTTGATTTTTAAAGCACATGTAGATGCATTTAATTATTATTTGGCTGGAGTAACAGCAATCAACACTAAAAAGCATGACTGTGCCGGGAAAGATTCTGAAAACTGCTTCTGTTTAGCTATTGAGCTCATAGAGGCTCACACGTTGACATCATCTACATGTCATTAGTATGCACATTGTATAAACTCATCATTGCTTGAATAAGCATGTGTCCCACTAAAATGAATTTGTGAACCACATGTAATATGATGATTGTAAGAAAGGAAAACCTACCTTAAGAACATACCTTCCATAGTCTGTCGTTTTGCAAGTAAATTCAGAGACTGTAAAGGCTAGGACGTAGGTGGACATTTTGACAGTTGGATGAAACTCCGTAACAAGCCATTCCTCTCCGTCAATGCTCATTTGCTTTTGATCTGCATGAATTGTAGTAAAAGGGTAAGTTTGGTATCTTATCCAGGATTTACCCAGCCCTGTGGCCTATGCAACCAGAAACAGGCTCCTGTCCCAACAACCCCAACCAAGATAGGGTTAGAAGATGTGTGGATGGATGGATGGATGGATGGATGGAAGTTTGGCTATAGGTGATATGGCCATTATAAACTAATGTAAAGTCTTTTTTATCCTGCTACATTAGTGTTGTTTAGATGTGGACTTTCTGCAATTGTAAAACAGTCCTGATGTTATTCTGTTGAATTCAGTTTATAAAACATGTCTCCAGTGCATCTATACATGGTTTTCCCCTTAACCTGAAACAGGCGTACATGTTCTTCTTAATGCCACTTTGCTCTGTATCCCATTCATGTTATTATTGTTCTGTGCTCTGGTGGTGGTATCCAACCGGCCGCCGTCCATTATCTCTGTATCTGAGCTGAGTTAACAAAGGGACGGCTCACTTTTTCCACACCTAAAGGTTACATGATGCCTAATAAAGAAAACAGTCAAAAACAGTGGCAACTAATTGGAGGACTTTGGAGCATCCAGTCCAAACTACAATTGCATCTGTACTTCGTGACTGTGAGCCCCCCCCCCCTCATCAGCAAAATTTATTGTGTGGGGACCCCCCCACACACACTGGGTCTGTAAACTTTGGATGGAATTTGGATCTCAGGGGGAAAAAAAACTGTTCGGGATCGTTGGTGTAAGTGCTGAAACTCAAGCTATTTTCACAGCATTTTGCATACAAGCATTAAGTGTCTCAAACTCTACACATTCTTTTCTATATTTCTCCTAAGAGTGGATGTCTTTTTAAAGACGAATATTTGTTACAACGATTAAGGAAAAAACAGCACTAAAAAGAGTTACACGTGACGTGATCTAAACTTACCCTAAGGGCTCAGATAGAGTTTCTGTTACTCAGATAAACCCAGTTTCCTATTTCTGTTAATCATGCACATTCGCTGTATTTTCCAGACCCCGGTGTAACGCGGGGAAAATACACGAGCAGCCCCTGTTTCCTCTGTCCCACTTGATGTACCTCATGAGAGACCAGCGGCATTTAGGCATACATGAAGAAAGTGATTTACGTACCATACTGAGTGCTTAACGTTTTAACATTTCCATATCTTCTCTGAAACATACCAAAAAGTACAGAGGTGGATATTTCACCGCTCTGAGTTACGTATCGCTGAACATTATATTAAACAAGCAAGTTACATAACGTTTTATTGGGAAAGTATGACGCGAACTTTATCTGAGCTGGTGGTTAAGGCACCGAGGCAACATTTATTTACTTGTAAATGCACTGTACCGACGGATGGCTTTCACAACCATCCGATAATGTGTATCACGTATTTTATTAACATGTGGTGTGTTTTACATTTAAAACTGCGTTACGATCCCTACCTTTTTGAGCAGCGTTGCTGAGCGCTACAGTACCCACCCGATGTATTACAGTGACATTAAATACAGCTTTCATCGCCGGTTCATCAAAACAGGGAAACACTCTTCTAGCTGCCGTAGGCTCCATGTGGCTAGCTGCAAGAAATCCGAACGAACTGTAGAAAAAGTTTTAAGTATGATTAAATTAAAGGAAATATGTTCTGAAATACTTAATTGAAACAAGGACAAAATGAAAAACTTTCTTTTTGTATTTTAGTTTTAATAAGAATTAAAGTTCAAGTTTTAAATCTAACTACCTGATTTAAAAGACAAACAAAACCAAAACACCACTAGTAACACATACTAGTGGATTTGCACGGTGTGCTATTCTGTATGTCACTTATAGCATACATAGTAGGCTACATATAGGCTACAGTGACATTAATGGCAAAATTTACTTTTATGGTGGGACAGAAAAGCAAAATTCGAAGTTCAAGCTGACTTGACGCCTGAATGTTCGATGCTGCGAATGCAAGAAAAGCGGTAAGAGATTAAACGATCAGAAAGAAATAATTCTTACCTCTGATTGCCTGTATTTTCGTTGTACCGGCTAATGTACAATCCGTCTTGGTTATAGCCCAACAATCCTTCAAAAGCGGTGAAGAGGTAGTATGTTGTGTTAGCTCTCAGCGTGTCTGTAAGTTCGATTTCTAAAAAATTACTGTCATCCTCCTTCAGCGAGGTATATTTCACAGCTACGGCAGAACCGTGCTCGTCAGTGAGATGGATAGATGTCACATTCAGCTCTTTGCAGTGGATGATGATCCAGTGAGTAGCTTCCACACACCTGAACTTCACAGTGGAGTTCCCACTGAAGGTAGACGTGTAGTTTGTAACATTCATCTTGGTGTGCAGGTGAACCTGAATGTACATCCTGTAGCTATCCGGCATTAGGTCCTTAGGCAACCTGGTGTTCGGTGGTGGTCCAGAAGGATCCACTTTGGTGTCTGGGTGCCCAGTGCCTGTGAGTTTATTCTTTTGCTTTTGGGAAGTGATGATCACAGCGATAACAGTGATTATAGCCAGGAATGCCACCAAAACTGTGGCAAATGCCAGACGCTTTGACACATACAATCTTCTGGACATGTCTGATCCCTTAGAAGACTTTCTGGAATGAAGAGAACACCCTTTGCTCCACAGGCTTTAATTGATGTTTTTTTCCCTTTAACTGGTCTCCAATAGTCACAGATGTTGCATAAATGCACCCACAACACACTGGTTGTTAATAAATGTAGTATGAACTGTTGGACAATGAAGATAAGAGGGGAAAAACGTCAATGCACATTAGAATAAAAACAGTCCATCTGAAAGTAGTTTCCGTCTCTCATAGGTCCAGAGTAAGGAAGGTCTTTTAAAATTGTTTAGCTTTGGAGAGATGCAAAGAACTTTATTTCCAAGAATCATTCACTCTTAGGGGTGCGTCTCACTCCAGAAGAACAATGTTCTCATGTTCCCTGCCTCCTTCACTGTCTAGTCATCTTCTTTTCACTGGTTGTAAACCAAGCAAGCTCCCAGACCATCCTAGCGCACACTGACAGGTCTCAGTGACACTGGAGTCTTTTACATTTAGCAAATCAAGAGCATGTGTTGGCATGACGATTGTGCAATGTGTGCAGCAGGAAAATCCATCATTACAAGATTACTCAGGGGTGTGCGTCCCTTTCTGCACAGATTCTTAACTTCATTGAAAAAAAAAAAAAAAGAATTCTGGAATGCTTGCGGAGATTTAAAAAAATATGTACAAATTAGAACCTCACTTTTTATTTTTCTCTTTGGATGCATTCTTTGGTTATGCTCACATTTTATTACAGGGAAAAGGGTTTCTGGAAAAATGTGTCTAGGGACAACAGAACAGGAAACAGAGCTGGCGACTTGCTTGTTTTTGCAGTTGTTTATTCTTGCTTTAAATCTCTACATTTCAATTTAAAATTCTTATTTGTTTGGCACAGAAGTGGAAACTGAAGTTTGAACACAATGGGAAAATGTAACTATATATCTTGAGTTTAGCTTTTTTGAGAGTGAAGCTTGTTTTTGACCTGTCTCTTTCCTACTGAAGCGTTCATTAACATTTTATTCATTAAATGGCATTAATTTTTGAGAAACCGTGGGCAGTCCCTGCAGCATTTGGGAGTTAATGGCCTTTCTCAAGGGCCCAATGGTAAAATCACTGGGACTTAAAGTGGCGACCATTCAGTAGCAAGGCCAGCCTAACTCACTGAGTCACACAATGAGTGAGCCCAGCCACAGCAGACATGCACATAGATACAAGTGACCCTAAAACCTTCATACACATGGTCACAATTAATTTCAGAACCTGCATACACATAGATACATGTGAGTCTAGAACCGGCAATCCCTTCCTGTTTTCACGTGTAAGAAATTCACCTTGTATGTGCGGCATAAACATTAAAAGTTACTGTTCTGTTTGAATTAGGAGCCAACTTGAGGTGAAAAGTGGTACTACACTAACAGATTTTTTCCCCCATAATTTGGTATTATGGTATACAGATTAATATTAAAATAAAATACAAAAATCCAGTAAGTAGCATTTTTAAATGCATCTATCCACTTTCCTTACTGCCTCATCCAGTTAGCTGTGAACTATTAAATGGGAAAATACTGGAGCTTGCTGAGATCACAGAAACTCAGAAACCAAAACATATGAACGGTAGTGAAAATGATTTGGATCATGTAAAATCATATAGGCCTAATGTATAAATAGTCACGTTATTTAATATTTGTTAGTGCAAGTGCATATCTTTAATACTGATAGGTATTTTTGAAATAAAAATGGCTTGGGTACCGGCACAGACTGGTACTAGGGGAGTGCGGGAATTTTCCCACCGGGGAGGTCATGTGAGGGCTGAATGCAGGTCGAGCACAGGACTAATGGGTAATGCTTTATTTCATTGATGGGAAACCTGTGTTCTCACAGGAATCTCACATTTCTCACAGTCATTTTTTTAACTTCTCAGTTCTGTTAATTTTGCATTTTAAACAACGGGCATTTTTTTGAAAATCTTCACATTCATGGCGATCTTCTACCCCTAACACTCATGATTATGAAGGGGTGACTGTACAGTAAACCTACCACTTAGATATTCAAGGATTTATTTTGCTTCTTTACTGAATTTGCTAGAATTGAATTTTGAATGTACAATCTACTCCCCTTCAAGCCAAGACAGAATCAGTGACCTATTGATGTGATATATATCTATATAAAAAAAAAATTCATACTGTCAAGGCACAGCATGGTGAGGACAAGGAAATGAGGGTGACGATCCACGTACGGCTCCAAGACAAAGGGGTTTATTAAACAAAACAGAACAGGAGGGGGCAAACCACAAAATAAAGGGACAGGATGGGGATAAAAGCACATGGGAGAAACAAGAACTAACTGCAAAAACAGCACACAGTGCATGAACAATGACTGACTGGAGAACAGAGCAGGAGCAGGCATTTAAATACACACAAGGCTAACAAGACACGGCGCAGGATAGGTTAGAACAATATCCAAATTAACCAATCAATGAAACCACAGGACAATGAGCAACAGGTGGAATTCACAACAACTAATAAGCAAAGAAACTGAGAAACAGCAAATACTATAGGTTAACAATACTGGGACAACTAGGACCGTAACGATACGCAAAACATAATTAATCACAGCAGAAGGAGGGAAAACAATGACAAATAATGTACGCTAGGGTAACAGAAATGTTACAGGTGAATACAGGTGATGCTAATTTCCAAGCAGCCTCAAACCCATGACCAAGGGGTTCACAGTCACACATGCAACCTACCAAGCTAGGCAGCAGTGTGGGAGCAGGGGGAACATACAAGGGTTATCAGACAGGGAGTGAAAAGGCGGGACGGCCAGCGACACCTTTTGGCCAAACGAGGAAGAGACACAAAGGGCAGGGGTGGACGGGCACTGACTGGTCCCCCATCACAGCACTTTCTCGTTAGCAGGGTCAATCAAAAAGTCAGAACTCCTTCAAACTTTTACAACAGCAAAAACAGGGACACTGAAGTTCAGTTTATATACCAGATGTATATACGAAAGTATTTTTAAAGACTGAGGGAGAAGCAGGAGAGCGGCAGGGGAGCTGACGCTGAGGGAGCGCTAATTCCTTCCTACGACCCTGGGGGCTAAGCCCCCCTTGTCTTTCAATCCTAGTGACGTCCCTGAGCAAAGGAAGGAAAGGGCGGCGCGGCAGAAGACACTTGACGTTATAAAAAAAAGTAGCTCTAAAAGCAGGCCGACTGAAATAATAAACTTACCTGGAACATTATATAGGTGATCATCTGGGACCTAGGCCTATTTCATTTTGAGACATATTGCACCAAAACTGAAGCAGTGTCAGTTATTCTGGTAATTCACTAAGTGTCGCTCATTTATTTATTAATTAATTTTGGTATGCCTGTTGTTGAGCATTGGGTTTATGTTACTGTAATGTTTTACTTTAATGACAATTGCTAATATTTTAATAGTCGCCATTAATATTTTAATAAATAGCCAGATAAACATATATAGGCTACGTGCAGATTACAAAATGTGCGAATAATATCGTGGAAACAGCGTTTTATGTTTTAAGTAACGGATACCGTATCGGAACCAACATTGTCATCCGCGGCTGACATGTTTCCAGTCCGACTGAAATAATAGTTACACATTGGGCAGGGAAGCGGCTAGTAGGCTGGTGCACTTGCAAGAAGTCGGTATTTTGCTGTATTATTAAATAACTGACAAAATGATTAAGGCCATTTTGATTTTTAATAATCATGGGAAACCTCGACTCACCAGGTTTTACCAGTATTTTGTAAGTATCCTAAGTGAAACTTAAGGGCATTTAACATGCAGCTGTGTTAATTTAATCAGATGCGCGGATTTATTTGTCTTTAATGTTCCCAGGCTGAGGATATGCAGCAGCAGATCATCAGGGAGACCTTCCACCTTGTGTCCAAGAGGGACGACAACGTCTGTAACTTTCTGGAAGGAGGAAGGCATGGTGTTTGTGTGTTTTATCGGGTTTGAGTCTGCAGTTGTGTCCCTTCCCTCACAGGCACTATATTATTGTAGTCGCCGATTCCTAGCAGAAGCAGATATATTTATTGTCTGCTGTTGTATACACCCGGGTTACATGTATGCGTGGGGTATTTGTACTTTGCGCTTAGAGTGTTATCATCTTACAAGTTCATTGACTGGTTCTACATAGATCCGGAGATTATAATTAGTATCTCGATGTGGAAATAAGCAAGAAATTTGCAAAATTTTAATGATCTCAAGAGAGTCAACTTCAATGGAATTCGGTTCAGTTTATTTTTACATAACGTCTTAAACAAAATTCACCCTTGACAATAGGGTGTGGTAATCCATAACTATGTCATTTATAGAAAATAGTGAATGAAAGGGGGGAAAAGGAAAGAATGAATCTCAAAAGAGGATTAGAGAAAATGAACACCCCCACCTCCAGCATTCTAACATTATAGAAGACACAGAAAATGAGTGTGATTTAATAAAAGCAGTGTGTAAACAGTGGTCATAAACTCCACTAGTGAGCCAGTTCTCCATGCAGTTCTGGGTACGTTGGTAGATTGTAGGCTGCATCCATGCCACATCTATGGTGTCACTCTTCCATGGGACTAAACCATCTCTCAATGGTCAGAATATGCACACATTGACACATTGATGGAAAAACACAGTAAAGGGAATATACAGCAGCGCTAGCAGCCTTAGTCACAGTGTGACTAAGATGTGATTAAGCAAGGCTAAAATAGTAGGTCTTCAGTCGAGATTTAAAGACTGAGACCAATTCAGCATCATGAACATGAGCTGGCAGGCCATTCCATAATGTAAGGACCCCGTAAGTGAAGGCTTTAGCACCAACTTACTTTATGTATATGTAGGGTGACAATGAGGCCTGCTTTCTGTGATCTGAGTGTACTGTATTGTACTATATTGCTTTTAAACATGGATCTGTTCTGTTAGGTTGGCAGATGCTTGATCTTTGAGTGCTTTTTATTTAAGCACGAAACCATTCCTTAGCTGAACAGGAAGCCAGCACCTAAGAGCAGGAGATATGGGCTCATTCTTCCCATTCCTTGTGACAGTTCAGGCAGCTACATTTTGAATATGCCATATGGTGTATAATATGTGGTGTTTGTTTCCAGTTAAGAGAGCAATACAGTAGTCTAACCCAGGGGATGGGGCAGGGGGTGTAAGATGATTTGCAGAATAAATCTGCTGAGGTGCATCCTCCCATACCCCTATTGGTGAAATCTACTGCCGAGACCATGAGTCTCTGACACTCTTATTTTGGGGCTTCTCAGCTGAGAAGCTTGGGAACTCTTGTTCTATCCTACTATACACAAAAGCATGTATTCATTTTTCAGTCGTGTATAGTAATTTTATTTTTTTTTTTAAATCATCATAATATTTGTTTCTGCACCTCCAAATATGTACTTTTCTTCTTCCTCAATTTCCAGTTTAATCGGTGGCTCTGACTACAAGTTGATCTACAGACACTATGCTACACTTTACTTTGTTTTCTGTGTGGATTCGTCCGAGAGCGAACTGGGGATTCTGGATCTGATACAGGTAGGAACTCTGCTGTGTTTGATTATACCAGCCTCTGTTGCTTGCGTGAGTTTTTGAGCTGTGGTTTTTCTGTATTGATGTCTCCAGTCAGGCGATGGGCTTTACGGCACACGTGTGGGGGACGTGAGCCAGCAACAAGCAGACAGATTCATTTTGGTTGTTCAAAGTAAAACATGGTGCAGCAGTTAAAACGCAGTATGACCCGGGGTGGGGACACTTTCTGCTGTGCAGCATTGGTTGCCTGTGGGGAGGGAGAAAAAAAAAATGTAAAACTGAGCTCACATTTCATTGTGTGGCTTAGATGCTGAGTTTACCACCATTTGTTGGGCTTTAGTGACACCTGCTGGACTGGCCTGGGATTTACTTCATCATACGGAAATCTAAAGATGCTTTTCCACCGCACTAGGTTTTAATTTTGTACTTTGGTACTAATCCTTTTCCAGTGACTTTCAGTCAAGTACCAGTAGAAAAAGTTCCAGTACGTAAAGGACCAAACCAGCCAGGGTACTTTTTTAGTACTTTTGGGTGGGGCTGGCAAACACTTTCTTTGTCAATTGCTTTTGAAAATAGCCTGCCTCCGAAACACAATGTGTCCGCCATCTTGAAAAAAGTTACAAACTTGGAAAAAACAATGATAAATGAAGTTAAAATGAAAATGTAATATAATGGATGCGTGGACAGATGAAGGAAGCTTTAATTGCGATCTGATCAGAAGAACAGGTACAAGATTAGGATGGTATGATGAAAAAAATATTTTCTAGTATTCTATAGCACGGTATTGAAAAATGTTCAAATATTGCATTGTGATTTTTTTGTAATAAATATTGGCTAATTTAAAGAAGGGGGGGTGTCGACAAATTTCTCACAAGCCCGTCTAGGAATGATTTAAACAACAAATGAAAATTATGATTGTCTCAGAGAACACATGCAGTACTCATGCAAAAGCAGTGGAGGTAAACTTTAAACAGATTTTTTTAACATATACTACATAATCTGGAAAGAATAACCATCAAAAAAGGCAAAGCTTGTTTTTTTTTCCCTGTTACAGCGTAACAAAACTAAAACCCCCTGTGCTGTAATGTCTAGGCAAAAAGCCTGATCTCAGCCCAACTGACTGTCATGACCCTTGTGATGCAATATTAATATTGCACATCTTCCAGCCATTTTTTGAATTCCGAACCCCGACTCGCGTTGTGATGTCGTTCGGTGCCGATACCAGTGTTTACGGCAATGGTACCATACTTTTTGACAATTTCTTGAAATTCCAGAAATACGGTACCTGGCGCAGTGGAAAAGCACCCTAAAAGTGGGGGCCTCACCCGACCTTGTGATAAACTGTGATAAATCATTCAGGCTGGAAATGGCAGGTATACAGTATGAAAGGGGAAATAGGATGAGCAGAAAGTGTCTCGTACTATATTCAACAAAATAAGACTGGAAACTAAGATCTCACCGTTATTTATTCCTTCTAGACATGTACATTTACAAAAAAACTGTTTTCAAACCATTTTTTGAACTCTGAACTTTGTGGTTTTTAAAACAAGCAGATCCCTACATTTTTAAATTAAAAGGAAAAATAAGAATAAATCAAAATATCCTTAATGTATGAACAATGCACAAGACTGAAAACAAAGATCTCGCGCTTCAATTATTACATTGACATGTACATTTACAAAAAAAAATTCATACTGTTTTTTTTTTTTCCTTATTCTGTAGACTCCAGTGCAAAATGCAAAAATAAAATCTGAGCAAAAACAGATTATACCCATTGCACCCTGTTGCGTTAACATTAATAAATGATTTAGTAGCAGTGTGCTTTGTGATACCCCTACAATGTGTCGTCATATTTTTGAATCACAAAATATCATTCCAAGGTGCATTGTCACACCCCTGTAGAAGATTCAGCTGATGGTAGTACAGCGCTTTCCTCTGAAATGAGGACTCTCATTTACTACGGAACCAGCGGTTCTTTCACAGCATCGTTGGCTCCATCACATAACTGCTTTTCAGGTGCTGGCCTCACACTCTCATGTTAAGGGCATTTTGGAGACAGGTGTTCACATTGACTTAAACCGTCTTTGTCTTTGAAATATGCAAGACAATCCATGAAAAAACACATAGAGAATGATTTTACTAGAAGACTGATCGGGAATGGGGAAAGCAGTAACACTGTGAATGTCTGCGGGAATGGGGTCACAACATAAAAATATTCCTGAGGTAACAGGAGTATGATCTTTATGGTATTCCTGTAGGGATGGTAATAAAATGTATGGTAATCAGTATTGGGGAAGCTACTTTTAAACAGGAGCTTCTCAAGCTACAAGCTACTTATGGTTAAAAGTATCTAAGCTACCGCCAAGCTATTGTTTTAATAATATAGTAGCTACACAACAAGCTACAGAGAAAAACTAACTAACTACATGGAAGTTATTTCATCTGGTAATCCATAATATTTGTGTTGTCGGATACTATTAAAGCAAATTAATAAAAAAAAAAAAAAAGAAAGTGAAACATGATGGGATGGTTTTGGTGCATGTGGGGATGAGATGGGGATGGTTTTGGTGCACGTGGGGATGAGATGGGGATGGTTTTGGTGCACGTGGGGATGAGATGGGGATGGTTTTGGTGTACGTGGGGATGAGATGGGGACGGTTTTTCTGCACGCGGGGATGATATGGGGACGGTTTTGCTGCACATGGGGCTGGGGTGGGGTCCGGGATCGATGATATCGCCATGTAGTAATGTAGCACACACACACAGGATGATTGGTGGGAGTCTAACCCACAAACCTTGAGGTGTGGGTCTACCTGTCGCCATGGAAACTCTCGTGTTAGTATATATATTTGCTGATGGGTATCACACCACTTTTTATTAATAAATTATTGTTGTTTTTATAGTTCCAAAGCATTTTAATCACCTAATCCTCACAATCAGCTTGCACATTATATCTGTGACTTTCCAGTGTGTCACTGTGTTTGTTACTCAACACTAGGTGGTGCCAGAGATCTGGAAAGAGTTTCACACTTAACCGCAGTAACCTCGATCCCTATAGTCTCAACAGGGGAGTAGCTATATTATATTAATTTTAGGGATAATTAGTATTCAATCGGTAGTAAAGCTTCTGTATGTAAGTGTGTTGTTGATACTCTTCATGTTTTTTTGTAGGTTTTTGTGGAAACCCTCGATAAATGCTTTGAAAATGTGTGTGAACTAGACCTTATTTTCCACGTGGATAAGGTAAGTTCTGTTTGAACAGCTATGTGCCTAGTGATAAGCAGTGTAAATGATCTCATCTTTTAGTGTTTGTATTGTTGTACTTGTGAACTGAAGAAAAAGACACAATGGGTATTGTGAGCATGTGGAACTGACTAGGGATGGCATCGACAAAAAGTAGGACATTTCAGTGGTGAAAGTTCACACCTGTGTCAGCTTGGTCTGGTTTGTTGGGGGTGAATGAACATACCTCCCCTTGTAAGTTGAATCATAAAAAGAGGTACGTCCTGATTTTGCCAAGTCCAGCATTTCCTTGGGTCTACAAGGAAGGGGCTTGTGTTTCACTTCTTTAACTAATCAGTCTTTATCATGTCCCCATCACCACATTAATTAAAACCAGTGTTTTCTGTTAAGCAACAAGGCACACTGATTTCTAAAGTAAAAAAGTTTTATTGTGTCAAGGGACATGTCATAGGTTCAGAACGTCGGAATGTGCTTACTTGCAAAGGCTGTTGTTTAAAGAAGTGAAACACAAGCCCTCGCCTTGTAGAGCATCAAACTCTGCAAAATCAGAATGTCCATAAAGAAGGACAGGTGGAATCAACTGACAAAACCAGCCTTTATCCCCGGATTGTCCGTGAGGTGGTTAAACGCTGTGCCTCCAATACACACAAACACACAGATGCCATTTTATTCAGTTTCTCACTTTTTGTACCAGATACGTTAAAATTGTGTGCATTTTGTCAGAGTGTTCTCTGAAAAGAGTGAAAAGGAAAAAAAAAACAGCTACAGGATGCTTATTTAGTTATTTCTTTGGGACTCTATTACAAAGCTCATTACCTGTATTTTGAAAATAAACATGCAAGTTTTGTTCCATTGCAAAGCACTTTGCTTTTGCATCCTGCTTGGTCATGTCTGCCCCCTGCAGGATTTGGCAGATTTGAATTTCAACCCCTTTTGTATTTGCTCTGGAATACAGCGGTTAAGCTTGTGCACATGCAGCCCCTGGGGGCCCATGACCGTATTTGTTTTGTTCCTGTCCTGTACCCAGGTTCATTACATCCTGCAGGAAGTGGTGATGGGTGGGATGGTCCTGGAGACCAACATGAATGAAATAGTTGCACAAGTGGAGGTGCAGAGCCGCATGGAGAAATCTGAGGTGAGCGTGATGCCTTCCGCAGAGGGCTGCATCTCACCCAGTTGATTTGATTTCTGTTTCAATTGGATTCAGTATTGGTTCATTTGGGGATATTTCAGCTACAATACCAGTTTGTTCTGTTTCGGGTTTGTCTTGGATCACCCGTTTTTGCAGATTGCACATCTGGATGATGTCTTGTTAAATGGTTTCATACATTTGTGGTATTTCCTCAGTATTTCTCCTCCATTTTGCACATTTTACATACGACTTCGCTTTTGCCCAGCTCTTTGGTATCTTCATATTTCTGAAATTTGAAATACATCCAGACATCGACTTTGAGGCTTGACGGTACCTTCAGTACAGCAGCTCCCACCACATTTTTGTCTGACCGATCTCCATTCGCTAGGCTGGCCACACAAGACTAACGGGCTTAAAGATCTTGGAATTTTATGAATCGATATCCGATTATGCAATTAACAGTTGATTCAAATCAGAATTTTTTTTTAAACCCAGCCCTACTTCCCCAGTCTCCTCTACCACTCACATACCCTAGCATGTTTTTAGCTCAAGGAATTGGTCAAGGAACTGATGTACTGCTGTTTCCCAGGGCGGCTTGTCAGCGGCACCCGCACGTGCCGTGTCTGCAGTGAAGAACATGAATCTTCCTGAGATCCCACGAAACATCAACATCGGGGACATCAACATCAAAGTGCCCAGCCTGTCTCCTTTCTGAGCAGGGGCTGACCTTGGTAGGAGCCGTGTTGATTTAGCGATGGGCAAATGCAGCTTCATGAACCATTTCATGTATTTTCAGATCCCACTAGATGGTGCTTTCTGTTCATAAAAGAGCTCCAAGCAAACCAAGAATGCTGTCTAGTGAGGTAAAAAAATACAGCAAATGGTTCATGAAGCTTCATTTGCCCATCGCTACTGAATGTTAGTGTTCTTCATAGATTATATCCTCCTGCTGAGAGACTTTGTGCCTTTTTTGTGGATGGCCAGCAGTCTTTTAGAAGAAAGAAAATTATGATGCAAGAGGTTATATGCTAAATGTTTGCGTTTACCCGTAAGGTCCCTCCAGCTGTTTCCCGCAATGTTCATTCTTCGGCATATTTTTTGTAATACTGCTGATTTAGCGGATTTTCCCCACATTGTTTTTTTGCAATTTCGCAGTTGCTATACGCTGTATAGTATTCAGCATAGCCTTTATAGTAATGTATTTTGTTTGTTTTCTTATGTTGTTTGGGTTCTCATTTGGGTTCCGAGGACAAGGGCACATCATCGAAATGAGTCTCGCTGGGCTGTAGAACAAAGGCCCCCATAACCTCGGTTTTTGTGGGTGTTGTAATTTTTTGAAGTCAGGCATGATCATGATGATGCAGCTGTTTCTTTGGAATTGTGCAATTCAGTGTTCAAACTATTTTTTCCCCCCATCATATTCTGTCCCTACAGAGAGATGGCAGTTAAAATCCACTCCTCATATGAAGGAAAGATGGTAGACTTGCTCTCCATGCTGCTCTTTCCTCTTCTGACACCTCTGACACTGTTCTCGATGAAATGGAGGAAGTCCAGACCCATGGGAATGGCCCCTGTGATGTTACATGGACAGTACCTTCCCAAGAGTGTCACTGGGAAAAGCGTGTATATATGACACATATTTAATGTAATGTGACACTTCGGTAAACCCTATAATTCTGCTCTATGTGTGCTGGAGATGTCTTTCTTCCGTGGAGTCGGGCAGAAAATTCCGCACACCCTCTGATATGAACCTAAAAAAATGTCATGTAATCGCCAAGCCAGTCACGATGGAGATCTCACATCAGAGATATTATACCGCAGGTCTGTAGATGTTTACTTGAGCAGAAATAATAGAAGGCCTTCCTTATGACCCTATGAAATGAATTGTACGGAACAGTTTGTGTTTCAAAAGTAATTGCTGTACTTTTCAAAATAGAAAATAAACAATGGTCACCAAAAACACAATGTTATGTAACATCTTGGGTTAAAAACAAGACTGTGGCGACGTGGGAGTGCTGAGGATTCCTGAAATGGTTATATATGTACATTGCATCGCTTCCTTTTTGTCCTTCAGATGTCCTTGCAGCTTCTACTGCAGGAAGTGAATCATTAGTTGGCATACACAATGTGTGCATTATTCAGCCGGGGTGGGGGTGGGGTAGGATAACTTTTAGTTTTTGTTGTTTTTTTATGCATAATAGAACACTTTTAATAAATCTTTCCTTATAATGGCACTGAAGCTAACTGTGATGGAAAATTCAATAGCCAAGTGCCTATAAAATCATTCTGTGGATCTTGACAATGGCTCTCCGTCAGTGATTACAGTAAATTCACTTGAATTTGCTGCAGACATTTGAGTTACCATCAAATGAAAAACCAGACTTATTTAAGGTTTTACAGACCGCCTCAACCCACTCACATTCAGGTCCCGGCTGCAGTGCTGCCTCTTTGTGTTTTCGTGTCGGTCTGGATCTGTTCACACCGCTCTGCAGGTCTCCGTTGGCCAGGAAGCCGCATTTCCCCCACGACACAATAACATTCTGCTAGAAATCTTTCTTACTCATCCTCCCTTACCCACTGGGTAAGTGTTTTTATGTGTCTGTTTAAAACTAAATTGTTACTCCTACATAAATAGATTTGTTTTGCAGGGGGGGGGGTATGCTTTTCTATTTTCTAGGTGTTATGAATAATTTTTGGGTATTGTCCTCCTTAAGACACTCCCCACAGCTGAAACTTGCCTTAACCAAATGTCATAGCTCTCAAATGAAGTAGGTATAAGATGTCTGCATACCTCTGTTAAAATTGCAGGATATTGTTTAGTAAAAAAATTAGAGAAAGAATTCATGCCAGATCTATTCCCATATTTGATGTGATATTGCGACCAACAAAATTCCAGTGAAAAACAAACCTTTTGGATAAAAGGAAAAAGAAAATACAAAATAATTTGGTTGCATGTTTGCACACCCTTTTATAATGAGTCATGTGACTGTTCAGGATAAACCAGTCACATTCAAACTCACGTTCAAAAGTAATTACCATGTGTCACCCAGGGTGTAGATCTGGGTATGGATCTTCCCCCTTAAAAACACCTGGGGTACTCAACTGGCAGACTCCATTCATAAACAATTTATTGTGAGGGAGTTACGATTTGACCCCCACGGCCCCCCTTGAAATATCTATACAACTTGATCACTGATTTATGGGGTCTCATTGTGGAACACGACCGATCAGGAGAGGGTTACAAAGGAATTTTCAAGGCATTACAAGTACCATGGAACACCCTGAAGGCCATCATTGATGAGAACATAAATGGGCCAGCACAGTAACATCACCAAGATCATGATGGAAGAAGGAGTTCCACGGTTTGGTCCCATAGAAACAAGGCTGATTCCCCAGACTTCCAAAGGGTGGCAGGCATGACCAGAAGGTTGCTGTCCAATAATTGTAATAATTTGCATGGGGCATATCTAATGATAATATCGGTAAGGTATAAAGGAGCAAGACCATGAAAACATTTGAATGCTAAGGGAATTATCTTAAAATCAAGTGTGAATTAGAACAAAATGGAGAGAATTAGGGCGATGTAGTGTTGGAGGATCTTTGTAGGCCAAAGATTACAATTTTAATCTAGAAAAATGCATATAAATAATGTTTTTCACATGCAACGATGACATAAGCTTTTCATGGTCTGTCATAGAAAGCATGTCATGTCCTTCAGACATATTACAAAGCAGGGCTGTATTATCGATATGACTGATATGGTTCTTAAAATCTTAGGGTCTCATCTGGGTTTAGCTCAGTGGTCACAAGAAGCCAATGAGTAGCTCGCATAAACAGAAACCGAATCAATTATGTTGAATCCTTTTTCTGTTATTTTGTATATACAATCTTGTATCAAATAGGATCAAATAGGGTGACCATGTAATCCATGTCAGGGAGGAGACTTTGAGCTTGGACATTATATGTAAACAACTATTTCAATTAAAAGGACCTATGTTGCACTTAAGCACTGAGTTGTTGCTGTGAGCTGATTGGTCAGTCTTCTCTAATCATGCATGTGTTACTAATGTTAATGTAAAACAGCTGGATGAGTCTTTCAGTCAAGGAAACAAACCAGTAAAAGTACAAAAAAGAACTGAACTATTTAGCTAAGAACAGGAGCCTTTCAGTTTGTAAAATCTGAAGTAGTGTAAATAGGGTGACTAGATAATCCATGTCAGGGAGGACACTCTGAGCTAGGACAGGAATTGTAAATTACCATTTCAATTAAACGGACCTGAATTTCACTTGAGTGCTGAGTTCTTGCTGTGTGCTGATTGGTCAGTCTCCTATAATCATGCATGTGTCACTAATGCTAATGTAAAACAGCTGGATGAGTCTTTCAGTCAAGGAAACAAACCAGTCAAAGCACAAGAAGAGCTGAACTATTTGGGCAAGCAGAGGAGCCTTTCAGTTTGAAAGTAGTTTGTAAAACCCGAAGTAGCTCAAAGTGTCCTCCCTGACATGGATTATCTGGTCACCCAAGTATCAAACACGTTACTCCCCAGAATATTTCCTTTGTAGAAGTAGCCGAAGAGTTCATGTCAAGATTTGGCTCGTATAGTTGGCTCATCAGAATATAGCATATAGCGTCATCAGAAGACGAGTTGAAAACTCTTTTTAACATATTTTTCTTGTCATCTAGGTTTCAGGGAACAGGGTAGAAATTCTTTCCATCCTTGATCTAGTGAGCCGTGTCAATAAACTGGCTCAGGAGAGAAAAAGTTTGAAAAGAAACTTGTAAATAAAATTAACACTGAACCTGCTTTTGAACATGGGGGATGGTCACAAGATCTCAACCAAAGTACCACAGTGATCTTGATGCCCAGAGTCATTATTTTGTGTATTATCTTTGGTGAGTTCCAATGGGGCATCATTATCCACCAGCATACAATGTTAGAACTCCAGGCTTCCAGACACTGCTACCTGAGCTCTACAATGTGACCCTGTGGCCTCAACTCCAGAAGAACAAGCAGGAGATGTAGGTTCTCAAGGGTCTACCAATGGTCAAGGGTTCATTAACGTCTACCATCTCTTCAAGTGTGCCAGGAAGACTAACCTGATTCTAATGCATTCAGAATAAGCCATATGTTGAACCTGACCATGACCAACAGCTTCCATGAAACATCACCCAGCACAAGTGTAAACTCAGTACCTTGTGATTCAGATATATCGAAAACTGGTATTTGTAAAATTTTACAGTCTTAAATTTCAAAGAAGAACTCACTCATGACATGGAAGGTTTCAACAAAAGGGAAGTTCTCTCTGTTTCTGAGCTAGTCACTGTCTTCTCGTTATCTCCCGAAGTTTATTCGTTATCTGGGCAGAACGCTTGGTCATCACTGGGCACATGCACACTCGATTATACATCAACTAACTGCATGAGGAAACCCATTTGACCTTGCAATGTAAAGCTCTCTGATGTAAATACTGAATTGTGAAAAATATATGTCTAGGTTTGTGCTAGCATTTGATAGTTTCACTAATCCGTCTATGATTACAGCAAATTGTTCTGAATTTACTACACACTTTTATGAGTCATCTAAGGCACGTTATTTATGGTTTAGAGACCGCCCCGATCCTCCCACATTCCAGTCCCGGCTGCAGTGCCGACGCGGTGTGCTTTTAAGTCACACTGGGACTGCAGGAGCGTCGGTTGTGCTTTGCTGCCCAGAAGGAGACACATCTTCAGCAACTAGATAACGGTCTGCTTGAGATCTTTATTTCACATCCTCCCTAATCCACTTGGTAAGTCTGCTTTTACCTGTTTCTTTAAAACAGAGCTGTGACTTCAGGACAGAGGTGTGATCCCACTCCTTGTCCAGATGTGACTTGAAAGGGGGAGGGTATGATTTTCAGTGAGGGGCTTGTCTGGAGGTCTACAGTAGGTAGGTGTTACGGGTATTTTTCGGGTATTGTCCTTCTTAAGACGCCTCACACAGGAAGAAAAAAAAAACTTGCTTTAAGTGGGTGAGTAGATCAGTATTACAGTCTTTTTAAAGGTTTTCGTAGTAACCTCACATCTGGAATATATATATATATATATATATATGTGGTTTCCTGCATGCTTGCAAGGTTTTTTTTTATGACTGACTGTGTCCAATAATGTGGAATGCCAGTAGAACTGTGCACTATGCAGGCTTCTTGGAATTCACAGTTCCCATTCCCAGGTTGTACCCAATGGCATAAAAATAAATATATTTTTCTTTCTTAAAAAATAAGCATGAATACCAACTAGCAATGGAATGTGTGCCAGAATTTCAGCGAAGGACTTATCAAAACATTTGCAGAAAAATGAAAAACAGATCTGTGGAATTAAACTAGCACTCTTCTCATTTTAACCCTTTGTCCTTTGAACTGCATTTGAAATTGACACATGCCTCATGGTGTCTGTGCATATTGGGAGATTTATGTTATGTTGCTGGTATGATGAGGTGTCAGAAAACAAATGACCAGACTCTGTGAGTAGGGAAATTAGATTAAAATAACAGTTAGCTTAAAATATTATGTTTAACGTGTTTGCCATGGATCTGTCTCGTGGTAACCTCTTTGAACTAAATACACATTTTATCTTCTCTCTAGGAGCCTGGTTTACTCGTCCATGCCTTGTTTGCATGCTTAAATGGTCACTGTTGTTAACAGGAAACTCCATTCCTAACAATTAAAGAATACAAATTCTTCAGTGAAAATTACAGACACTGCAGATAAAGCACTCAATGCAAATAAGTGTTTAGAGAGAACATGTCACAAAAAATATGATTATGGATTATGCTGCTTAAAAGAGAAGACTGTCCATTATACAATGTAATACGGTAATGTTGAAAAATAAAAATAACTCGTGTTTTTCTTGTCATTTAGGGCCCGGATTAGGAATGGTTTCTGTCCTCTTCCAGTGCACCGCGTAAATCAGTCCAGGAAAAAAGAAGAAATCTAAAGAAGTAAAGTGTAAATAAAAGAACCACTATATGTGTTTTCAAACATGGGTGATGTTAGCAAGAAACTAGCAAAAGTGGCAGCAGTGGTCGTTGTGGTCATCATTATTGTTTTGTGTATTGTCTTCGGTAAGTGGAGTTCCAGTAAAGATACATCGCAACCGAGAACCTTGGCATGGGATAACTTCCGGCTTCCGGACTCTCTGCTACCCAAGAGCTACAATGTAACCCTGTGGCCTCGACTCCAGAAGAACAAGCAGGGCACGTATATCTTCACGGGAGCGTCTAGCGTGATCTTCACGTGTGCCAAAGAGACTAACCTGATTCTGATCCATTGCCATAAGCTGAACCTGACTATGACCAATGGTTTTCATGCAACCCTAACCAGTCTGGGTGGTGAGTCAACACCCAGTATAATCACCACACGGCTGCAAGAGCAAACTCAGTACCTTGTGATTCAGCTAAATGGAAACCTAGCAGTTGGGAAATTTTACAGTCTTAAAACAAAGTTCAAAGGGGAACTTGCTGATGATATGGAAGGATTCTACAGAAGTGAATATGAAGAGGATGGAGTTAAGAAGTAAGATGCACTTAATGTTTTGTTTACATTAATTCAGAAACACAGCGGTCATTTAAGCTTTCCCAAAGCTATCTTCAGATGATTCTAACTGCATGAAGAATGGATGGTTTTCTTAGTTAGACCCAAATTAGCCCTTGGCTGTCTAATTTGATATGTTGTGTTTCAATGTGTCCAATTTATAAGATTCAGGTATTCATACCTTTAGCCTTTGGAGAGCATGAAATATACTTTGCATTTCTTCGATGAAAAGCTAGAACACAGGAAATTTCACCAATTTATTCAAGCGTTTGTGTGAATAGTCTGCGAGCTGCTCTGCTGAACTGGTATGATTGCGACACGCTGGCTGATCCTCGACGCTAGGGCTGCACGACACATTGCGATTCTGATATTTCAGCATGGTCATCACGATGTACGCATGCGCAATAATAATATCACGGGTAGTGTGACATCAAGTAAGGTCAATTAAATCAAACAAGTCAAGCTACAGCTGTTTTGATGCATGATCCAAACTAAAACTGACATGGTTCTCATGTTCCATGACTGCAAGAGAAGCATTTCCGATATAATGTATGATTTAAGGGTTTTTGGATACACAAAGTTTGTAGCTAGTAACGGGTTCAACGACGTTGTTGTCAGCAGAAGTCGATAAATGTACCGAGTAAACTGCCTACAATTAAGTTATGATTAGATTAAACAAAACCACATCGATCATCACACATAATATAGGTGAAGTCCTAGTGGCAATACGACCATTTTCTGTATTTTCCAGGCAAACATCTATAATCAGCTATTTAACTTATGTGTAAAAAAATATGGAAAAGACATTCCATGTTTTTGCATAAATGGTTTAACTCAGCATGCTATTAGAATAGTCATTAAAATGACAGAACTGAATTTCCCGGAACACCTGTCTTGGATGATTCGATGAACTCCGGGAAGAGGGAGGGGGGGCTTAAGTTTTGATAAAACATTTTACTGAGCCATAGGAAACTAAACTTAGTAAGCTTTGCAATTGTAACGACTCTTCATTTTCAACATTATGTATGATGTTGTGGTGTTGGTGAGCTGTGGTGAGCTGTCGTGAGCGGTGGTGGCCTAATAGTCAGGGAAGTGCACTTATAATTAAAAGATTGCTGGTTTAAATCCAAATGGGTCCACTGAGGTACCCTGAGCAAGGTGCTGCCCCCAAGTGCTGAATTAGCTGCCCCCTGCTATGTAACAATATCACATCTGGGTTAAATGCAGAGGACACATTTTGTTGTTGTGTGCTGTGGTGTATCATCTCTGATCACTAAATTCTGCTTTCTATGTAGCAGAGCTCATTAGCATATCCCAGCATGCTCTGCGCAGTTCATGAATAATGCTTGTGTGCTGTGATTGACATGTGTGCCCTCATCTATGTTAGGGCTTAATCCTTGCGTGTCTCTTTCTTCTCACTGTGTGTGTGTGAGTAACCGCCTGTTTATAATGGGACCTCTTCACCTTTCCTTGCCAGTGTGGTTTTTGGGGAATTGCCGCGATGTATGACGAATTTCGCTGTTGTTTCTGTGTTGAGCAATAGTTCATATAAGGACTGACAGTAAAGAGCCCGAGGTTTGGAACAATGTTGCCTCCCTTCTTGCTCACTGCTCTGGAGCCTGGGTCTGCTGGGCATCGCAATATGTTTAATAAATATCATATATAGCTTACTGCAGCTGCTTTTGCGACATGAGCTCTGCATGCGATCTTAAAGCCAATCATAGCCATTTTCATCCTTACTGTTTAAATCACTCTTAGACAGGTTTGTAAGAAATTGATTTTTCATCTCCTATTTCACTAATATTGCAATATTTATCACAAAAAAATTACATTGCGATATCTGAAAAATTCCAATACGGTGCAGCCCTATTCAACACACATCTCTTAAACCATTTGGTCATGAATGCTGTTTCACTCTCACCTAGAATTGTTGCTACCACCCAGATGCAGGCCACATATGCCAGAAAGGCTTTTCCTTGTTTCGACGAGCCCACTATGAAAGCCAGCTTCTACATCACCATCATCCATGAGCGTGGGACTGTGGCCCTATCAAATGGCATGGACATTGGTTAGTGGATGCTGACCCTGAGGTTCTCTGCTGGAGGGTATCTCCTGATGGCAGTATGCAATGACGAGCCCATCTGTGTTTCCACTAAAAGGTCGAACTGGAAATGCGCAGAAGGGAGCTGTCTGCTTATGGTATTTTTTTTCTCTCTTCCAGAATCCGTGAACATGACAATTAACAATGAGACTGTAACCAGGACCACATTTGAGCCCACACCACAAATGTCTACCTACCTGTTAGCTTTTATTGTCAGTGACTACACCTATATCTCATCTGCCAAAAAAGACAATGCCTTGGTAAAGTCTTCAAATGATTACATCCTACCTAAAGCAACGTTTAGTCCATTTTCTGGTCTGGTTGTGCTAAAATACAGTTTCTGCTCCAATGCACCATCAAGTCAGTGAACTGATGTTACTAATTGATATGGTGTCATTTTTTTTGTGTACTTGCTTGTTCAGATTCGAATTTGGGCTCGTAGAAAAGCCATCTCCAGAAGGCAGGGACAGTATGCTCTCAACGTGACAGGACAGATTTTGCAGTTCTTTGTGAATTATTATAAATCACCCTACCCCCTCTCCAAATCAGGTAGGTCTTTAAATTGTTACACTTTACAAGCATATACTTTGGTTAAAAAATTCCAGGTGTCACTGGATTATGAAACCCAGAAAAAAATGTCACTACAACAAACTGTAAGAAGAAATATGATACAATCATCACACTACATTCAAGCCTTAATGGAAAAACTATTAAGTTCCTATTAAGTTCTCAAAGTGTTGAAAAGGAGAATGCCTTTGTTGTGAATACTTTGATAGCGGATTCACAGTGGGTGCAACATCATTAATTATGTGTTTTTGTTGCTAACAGATCAGGTCGCTTTGCCTGACTTCCAGGCTGGAGCCATGGAAAATTGGGGGCTTATCACTTATAGAGAATCGTCTCTGCTCTATGACTCTGCCATATCCTCCAATGGAAACAAAGAGAGAGTAGCAACAGTGATTGCCCATGAATTAGCACACATGGTTTGTCGATGATGTAATAATACTGACTTTGTTACTTTTTGTAACTTATTATATTCTTAGTCCAATTACCAATTTTTCCTCCTTCTTAGTGGTTCGGAAACCTGGTGACACTGAAATGGTGGAATGACCTATGGCTTAATGAAGGATTTGCCACCTATGTTTCATATCTCGGCGTTGATTATGCTGCCCCTGCCTGGAACATTGTAAGAGTCCATTTATTAAGTCAGAGTGTCAACAATACAAACATGAACATTAACAAAAATGTTGCCAGTGATACAATAAGACTTCTTAAATCTTAAATCAATAGATAAAGCATTTTCATGTATTAGAGTGTTCCTTTACACTAAATGTGAAAAATGTAAATTTTAATATTAGCATTCCAAAACTCATAGCTATTGAGGAAATCCTGGGGAACAGCCTTAAATTCCAGATCTTGTTCCCTAAAAGCCACTGACAAAGTCTGTTACAGAATGTTTGTGGTGAGAGCAGAGTGATCCTGGAGTTTACTGAAGATATGCTGCTCCTCCACAGAATGATCTGATCGTTCTCTACGACGTGCACAAGGCATTAGCTTTTGATTCCTTGGCATCTTCCCACCCACTGTCATCCAAAGCTGAGAGCATCAACAAACCTGAAGAAATCAGCCAGATGTTTAATACCATTTCCTACAGCAAGGTGAGCTGTTCAAGGTTTCTATAGCCCCCTGGGGGAGCTGAAGGCCAGTGGGTGTTTGGAGTTGAGGGTGAGCGGGTGACTTTAGTTGTAACTCTCTTCACAATAACACAGATATGCAGGTTGGTTCTTTGATACAGGTGTTAATAGATGGGGCATGTCTTGTTCCCCTGATGTACAAATCTTAGTCACGCCATGAGAACTATATTTGTGAATGAACATGGTACAAAAAAATACATCGATAAATTACATAGTACATAACATGAAACAAACAAATGCAAACACAAACGGTACATCACCTGAACACGAAACAAAGGCACGTTACACGTAAAACAAAATACCTCATTGGCCACTTGTCATGAAAGAGGTTCTCGAGTCCCTAAGATGCTTTTGATTCTCTCTTTAACTGTTTGCTTTGCCTTCAGGCATCATTAATTATGGTTTTTAATGCAAGAGAATGTAGCCCCATGAGAGATGTCTACTCACTTGCCATCCACCATGAACAACCTCAGTTCTGTTAGTTCTGCTGAATGCAGCAGCACGTTCTCATGATATAACAAATTAATTTACTCTACATGAAATCACAAATTTTAATTTTTACTTTATTCATTTATTCCATTTAATCCATTTATTTTTCTGTTTATCTATTTGTCTGTTGCTTTGTTTCATGAGATCAATTATCAGTTAGCATCATGACAATGTACATTTATTCAACAGTACTTACAGAATGTTAGTAATTAGTGGGCTTTTTATAATTAGTGTTTCTTTTTCATTAGGGTGCTGCAGTGTTGAGAATGCTCTCGGCATTCCTGACCGAGTCAGTCTTTGTCAAAGGTCTCCGTGTAAGTGCACACACACGTACAAACAGCTGACAGACGACCATCTAACTTGGGATGAGGAACATAAAAACCTCCTGCAGCATATATTTTGGGACAGTTTAATTAAACCAAAATATTTGTGTATAAGCTAAAAGAAATCTCCTCTCTCCCCAGACTTACCTGAGTGAATTTGCATTTAAAAATACTATAGCTTCGGATCTCTGGAATCATCTTCAAAGAGTAAGTTACAGTATTAAAATACTCAGCATCGTATTTCTTTCTCTGGTTGATGATATAGGCTATGTGACAGTATGATTATTAATGCGTTTTCACTTTATATCTGCCGTTATTGTCACGACAATAATAATAGTAATAATAATAATAATAATAATAATGTTTTCTTTATATAACTGTCACACATCTGGTGTGACACACTTTAATTCTCTCACGCTCACGCAAGAAATCTTACGCCAAATCTATATTATTCCATTATAAACCTAAAATTAGCTACCTCAAATTAGCTATTTACAAGTTAGTTAGATTAGTGCTCGTTTAACCTTGTCTCATGTGTCTTGTCCCCATTTGGCCAGCAGGTGTTGCTGGCCATCCTGTTCCCTCCTGTCTTGTAGCCCCTAAATCTCTTGTGCATTTCCCTACTCTGTGGGCTATTGTGTGGTTTAATGAGCTAAGCCATCGGTCATTATCCAGACTCGAGTCTGACCCGAGGCCAGCCCCAGCTAGATGTTTTTTTTTGTGTGTAACATTTGTCATTTTATGTTCTCTTGGTTAATTACGTGTTTGTATTATGGTTACAGTCCCTTGTGTTTGCTTCCTGCTTCCTGGTTGCATTACGTTCAGTTTTCCTTGTTTTAGTTTCCCTTTACCTGCCGTATCTGTTAATTGACCTCACCTGCTTCTTGTTGCCCCTAGTTCATTATAGCCCAAACCTGCCCCTTGTTAGGCCTTGTTAACAGTGTATTTACATCCCAGCTTTAGTTCATTTCCTCGGTCACTCGTTGTAGTTGTTACTGTGTGTTTGTAGCTGGGATTGTTTCCCAGACTTGCTCCCTGGTTTGCCCTAGTGTGTTACTTTGCGGTTACTTTTAGTTAGTTCTTATTTTTCTTGTTTTGTTCAATCCTGATATAACACCATTCTCAGATCCAAGGTTACGTTACATAAATGCAAAGAATGCAAACTTTATTCCAAAGATCATAAAGCAGTCCGAACTCTTTTTGCAATGTAACGTACAAGTGAAGTACATAGTATACATCATAAACATACGGCTTTCAAGAAGCCAACTCGGGTGCAAATGTCCACAGGCTGAGCTTCCAATGAGAGACTAGTAACAAATGAAAGTTAGTACTGGGGCCAGAGCTGTCTAATATATTGCAAGAACCAAACAGAAGAGCTATTCAAATCAAAACATTGTGAGGACTGGGTTCCAATGAAACATTGGCATCGAATATGGACAAGAGACCATAATCAAGGGACAGGTGAAGGTAGAGGTGGTCAGTGGTTGCATGACTTTGTTGAGGTGCTCCTGGAATAGATGGATAACTATTCAAATTAAAAAGGCTCATATAGTCACAGAGGTGCTGAGATAGAGTGTCTCTATGTTTGAAGGTTGTAGCACTAAATGATCTGTCACCCATAGTAATAATTTTTCTGTGGGGAAATGAAAATAGACTGGAGACAGAGGATCTAAGTAAACAGTTTAGTATATAAAGATGAAGCTCAGAAAATTAAGAAGCGGCGAGTCCATTGAGTTCTTTCTATGGGTTTGTTTGAATTTAGGCAGTAAAGGGAAGCCAGTTGATGTATTTTGTAATTACACTTGTACTTTCTGCAACAGTTTTGTATTAAGCAAAGATAAATCTGCTTGTCTCAGTCGGTGTTGTAAAATTTCTTTGCAGAATTGTGATTGCTTACATGCTTTTTTGTCGTTGGTAGGCAGTAGATCAGAGCCCTAATATCACCATACCTCGTAAAGTGACTGAGATCATGGACCGATGGGTTCTCCAGATGGGCTATCCTGTGGTCACCATCAACACTCACACCGGAGCTGTGTCCCAGCAGCATTTTCTCCTGGACCCTGATTCTAAGGTTGACCGACCATCAGAGTTCAAGTACGTCCAAGTATTGCCCAGAAAGACTGCATGAGATAGTCAGGATGAACATTAGTTTGACCCGACTGAACCGCAAGATGAAGTATGTCCTAACGATCCTTGTGCTTCACACCAGGTATAAGTGGTTTGTTCCTGTACAGTGGATGGACAGCTCAAGGGTGGTGAAGACATTCTGGCTTCTAAAGGCAACTGGTATTAAACCAAACAAAGTAAAGTTTTTCGCTTTATGGATATTTTTAAAAATGTTTGTGAAACAAATGAATTTGTTATATATAATCTTACAGATACCCACAAAGCAATGAAAATTAACACCGGCTGGGTCCTGGCCAATGTTCATATGTCTGGATACTTCCGGGTCAACTATGACACTGACAACTGGGAACAACTTCTCACCCAGCTTATTAACAACCATAAGGTGAATATTAAGGAAATCGAATACACGTAAAAGTGATCACAATGATGCATAAGAAGATCATGCCTGTTAAATCACAAATTAACAAGAGTGTTTTCACAGGTCATTCCACCCATAAACAGGGCCCAGATTCTGGATGATGCTTTCAATCTTGCACGGTGATTTTAAAATATATACTATTTATTGATATATACAGTACATTATATATATATATATATATATATATATATATGTGTGTGCGTGTGTATGTGTGTGGTGTGTGTATCCATGTTATTTATTTTATTCTTTTCTGTCTTCAACATGTGCTTTCATTTTTTTCATATGTTCCAAGGGCAAAAATTCTGAGTACGACACTGGCTATGAGGCTAACCAAGTACCTTTCAAAAGAAAGAGAGTACATCCCATGGGCATCTGCCATTAATAATCTGGATTATTTCATCCTCATGTTTGATGGCAGTAAGGAATACGCACCATTAAAGGTTTGTTCATGTCAAATTTCAGAGGCCATTGTTTTGTATTGTTATTCCAGCGTTACTTTGCTAATTTTTCAGCCGGATTTTCTGTTTCTGATTCTCCCAGGAAGTCCAGTTCAGTGGGGAAAAAGTGACATATAACGTTTGGTGCAATATCTGACTGATTATAAAGCATACTAGCTAGGAAGACGATTGAAAGACTAAAATAATTGCTAAAATAATTCTTCCTCGTAGGAATACCTGAAGAAACTGGTGACTCCTCTTTTTGCCTACCTGAAGAACATTACGAAAAATTGGACACAAGTTCCTGCTGGTCACACTGATCAGTAAGGAAATCTACATTCTATGCTAAACCAGGGGTTAAGGCAGCCTTGATGGAGCACGCAGTGAACCTATTGTTGATGCTTTTCAGAGTAACTATTGAGCGTTGTTGCCAGCAGCAGTGACAGGCTTCAACCTCAGCTATGTCTTTGTTCTGTCACATTTATAGGTACCTTCAGGTCACTGCCATCAGACGAGCATGTCGATTAGGACTTCAGGACTGCCAGAGGTTGACTAAAGACTGGTTTAATAAATGGATGCAGAATCAAGCAATAAACAGGTGAGTTCAGTGCATCCTGGATGTCTCTGGTCTAGGCCTGCAGTACTTCCTGGCTCTGTGTGTCTCCAAATATAATACCTGATTCTCTTTGATTCTCCAGAATTCATCCAAACTTAAGGGGGGCGGTATACTGTAGTGCGATTGAGGCAGGAGGGAGGCAGGAGTGGGATTTTGGGTGGAAGATGTTTCAAAATGCCTCCGTCGCCGCTGAAGCTGACAAGCTGAGATTCTCACTTTCCTGTACCAAGGATCAGTCACTGTTAAAAAGGTGAGATGGCGTTCTGGTTGTACGGTCAGTGTACACTTCGTCCTCAGGTTGTAATGCATCATATTTTACTTTATCGCTCATCCAGTGAGCTTGTGAAAGTTAAAGTAGAGGACATTAGCTTTGTATTTGTTTTGGATTATATGATACATGATAATCTTTTTGTAAAATCTAGATACTTGGACTACGCCCTGGATGCAAATAAAATCCGGAAGCAAGATGCGATCTCTACGATTGTGTACATAGCCAGCAATGTTGAAGGCTCTAAATTAGCCTGGGACTTCGTGAAGAGAAATTGGGACCGTATCTTTGCAGAGTGAGTTGGGCCTGATTAAACAGACTCCCAACATCCAGCAGTGAGATTATGCATTTTCATTTCATTTAAAAGCACTAAATAGTTTCCCTTAGACTTCAATAAATCATTGTACCTATTATGTTAAAATTGTGTTAAATCTGCAATATGTTGGAGCCCTGTGTTTGGTTATTCATCACTTTGCACCCATATCTTCTGGGATTGAGTCCAGACCCACGTGACCCTGCATGGCGAAAGTGGGTGTGGAAAATGGATAGATTGTATAGATAATGTTATATTTTCTTACAGACATAATGACAAATGCTTCTCACTGGTCCTTTAGGTTTGGTGGGGTGTCTTCATTTTCATATCTTATAAACGGAGTAACACAAAGGTTTTCAACTGACTATGACCTCAAGCAGGTAAGCATCTCCTGGTTGACTTATGTATCTTGAGAAGAATGTGATCAAGCGTCAAAATACCAGTGTTGCTGCCACTGGCTGCGCCTCATTCTACCAGCTTCGATCAGTTGGACTTTTTCCAGAGCAGAGTCTCTGTTATTTACCCTCTCGACAGTCAAACTTCCACATTGGTGCTGTTCTCATGGAAATGTTTATGCATCTGATCCACCGTCAGGCAAAAACACACACAAACAAATGTAGGTTATGGAATATTTGCTTGCCCTGTGTTTCTGCTACAGTTTCAGAAGTTCAAGGAGGAGAAGTCCAAGACCGGCTTTGGTTCAGGTACCCTGGCTTTGGAGCAAGTCATGGAGAAGATAAAGGCCAACATCAAATGGCTAGCCAAGAATAAGGCTGAAGTCATGCAGTTTCTAAAGAAGGAGAATTCACAGAAGGGTTAGAAAAGGAAATGTGCCTAATGGGTGTTTACAGTACAAAAAATGTTTGGCGAAATGTTAATTTGATTACAGTATATATTGGTACAATGTGTTATTATTAATATGGATGATTTCGTTCCAACAGTTTTTAAACTGTACTCTACAATCTCCTGGAATTGATTAAGGTGTTTGTGTTGATTCTTATTATATTCATGCGTTGCTTCCGTGCATTTCCCTAAATCTTGAATGCCCTGTTTTTTTACTGTTTGTATTCACATGCCCTTATTGTAAATATGACAATGCAACATTTGCTTTTATGATATTTTTATAAAGACTGAAGTTGGTTTGCTATGTTTTGTAATGAAAAACTATTCAAAACACCAGTCTTTGCATCTGAACAAGTACTTTACAGTCCATAAAATTAAAATTAAAGTCCATTACAGGGCTGTGGGGATAAAACAGATTAAGAAAAAAATAAAGATCCACGGTTCTAAGTCCAGTGCTATGGTGAGACTCTCCAGGAAGCACTGAACACATGATAAGAGCCTGTATGGGATGATACTTGATCATAGCCCACATGATAATAACATAAGGAGAACATGCAAACCCGGGGGGGCGGGGCCATGGTTGCTGCATACTGAGCCATCAAACCACCACGATGTAAAATAAATCTATCGTAATAGTACAGGCAGACCCCAGGTTACGAATGAGATCTGTTTCTTAAGTCTGTCTTTAAGCCGAATTCGTAAGTTGCAATCGGTACATACGGTTCTTATTTAGGGTCAGTTATTTTACTCTTCTATGCATATAAAACACTTAAGAAACACTTGCAAATGCATTAAAACATCTTAATGATACATAATAATAAAAGTAGCCTCATACGGTACTGTACTGTACCTCAAGCCAACGAACTGCTGAAGCTATGCTATGTTGTCATGAGCATCACAAAGTAGTGCAGGCGGTCGTTATTCCAAAGCATCGTATTTAACTCAATTTTTTTTATATAATAGGGTTTATGGCAGTCCGTTCGTAAGTGAGTTGTCTGTAATTGGACGTTCTTAATCTGTGGACTGCCTGTATCTGACGTCTACGTAAGAAAAAGTAAATGAAGAGATATCAGTAATCTGAAGTAACAGTAACTGTGATAGTAAAGTAAATGAAATCACAAATATTTTCAGACTCACATGCAGATAGGCATTCCATCCATCCATGTACAACCCTTTGGTTTGCTCCCAGTGATTTGCAGTTAAAGCTCTTAAAATTGGTCCCTGATTGGTTAAAAGTTACTGACAAATCATCTTTCTCACTCACGAACAAATATGGCTAATATTAGGTTTTCTTATTAAATCAATGCTTATAAACCTTGGAAAGTTTCCGTTTTCACTCATGTGACCTGATTCAGTGGATACATTTTACTGTGTAGTCCATCAAAGTTCTGTAAAGTTAATGTAAGACCCGTATAACAGCACAATGCTAAAATTACGACTTAAATATTTGGAGAACATCTCAGGGCAGCCAGAAGGTGGCAGGAGATATTGGTTTGTATCACCTTGGATAAGCCCCCTTCCTCCAGTTAACAGACTCTGGGGTCTCAGAATTAAGATCCATGGACATTCCAGGCCCCCAAACTGTGCTGATTTGGTTACAGTTTAGTGAGGTCTGAGGTGAATGCAGACCCTTCTATGTAAAATATGAGCTTGTAAGTTTTGAGTTCTATCTCCAAACATAGGTTTGGCAAAGTGCACAAACCCTCGTTCAGAGGGACAAACCATTTTGCTTAAATGATAATTCATGTTGGAATGTCTATGGAAATAAGCCTGCACTGCATGGCCGGATTGTACCCTGCACAGCTAGAATTACTGTTAATTCCTCTATGTAGTGTTTTACGACAGAGAAGAACACAAAAAAAGCAGTTTTTAAAAAAATAAATAAATAGTATATTGCTATTTACAAAGATGAATTTACTGATAAATATATCATTTACATACTATATGTACAATATCCTTCTGACAAGATGTGCTCCTTGTTCCTTTGCTCAAAAAAGTCCAAATGAAAAGTTGTGTTTCTCTGGGACCCGCTTCTCCTTGGAAAGCGTGTGATAGAACATGCCATTGGTATTCTGTAAAACAAAAAAATAAGCAAAGAAGAATATAAAGTTACTGCCGCTGGAATGTTCATGAGGAGTGTGTGAAATGAAAACTGCAGAGAGTGGATTAAGAGAATCTTTGGGGACGTAATTAATCGATTTCATTCATCAGTAAAATCCTCAAACATACCTGGTAGGTCAGCAGACGATTGGAGAAGCGATCAGTGGAGGGAGATCAGTGGAGAAATCGCTGCCCCGTCTTGTGTCTCATCCCAATGTAGGGCAAGCGAAGGAGACATATGGGAATGGCTTCCATGGGACGGGATCTCCTCGCTGAGCCCCAGCTGCTCCGTCAGGTGAGAGATGTAGCGGATGGTGAAGCGCAAGGTCTCGATTTTAGTTAGGGTCTGTCCAGCCGGGGCCACCGAAGGAGGGAGGTAGGTCCGGAGGTGCTGGAGGGCCTTGGTTAGGTTCCTCATCCGTAGCTTTTCTCTCTCACTGGCGCTCTGGCGTTTCTTTCCTGGATACCTAGACCTGGAACTCTTCTCTGAGGTTGGTGTTGGCTTCTTTTCTTGGATGATGTAGCTGGTGACAGAACAGACAGAGGCCTCTGGACCAGCTCCCCACTGGAGGCCTGGAGGGGAGAAGCTGCCCGAATCAGTGGAAGAGGCTGGCGAGAGGCTTCCGCTAGTGCTGTGGTACCCAACATCTGGGCTATCGCATGTCTGCCATAAGAGAGAATGGCAGTCGGCGGACAGGTTGCCCTGGGAAAGGAGATGTGGAAGGGTGAGGTTCATGGCGGAGAGGTTCCTCCTTGTGCCCGTTGCTGCAGATGAGTCTGAAGATGACCAGGCCCTCCAGAATTTATCCTGGAAGGAGAGGTGTGATGTGACACCTCAGCAGGGCCAATTCTAGCCTTTAAAGTCCCAGCACTGCGCTCACATCAGAGCAGGGGGTCTCTGGGAAAGAATCCCCCCCCCCACTAGACACAGGTGTGAGGTGTTACTGGAAGCAGCAGGAGAAGAGGAAGAAGGGGCTTACAGTCCCAGTGTGAGTGGGAGGCTGTGTTACGTTTTATCATATTATAGAGATATATGAGAATATTTCAGTGTACAGAAAAGTTGGGGAATGACATTTTGTTTCACAGTTTGTTTTCAATTATTAAAAAACAGAAGAAATTCAAGACAATATCTGCCACAAAAAAATAGGTAAAAATCTTCCTTCCAGAACAGTTCTAAGAAGTATTTTTGTTTTCATTTTTTTTTTCATTTTGAGGGGATTCCAGTCTATGACTGTTTCTGACTGTTACTGTTTCTGGTGAAACTTTTTGGCAGTGACATGGACTTTGGCACAACTAAGTGAAATCGAGACTTTTTTTCATTAAGATCAGCCATCATGAAGGATATTAGACTTGACTGTCAGATGTATAATTACGACTATTGTAAATGAAAATAATACTTACACAAAAAAAAAAATCACTACTTCTACAAGTAAATGTTTAAATCAAACCAGCAGCCATGTGAAATCAGTCTGTATTTGGAGATGCTGATTCTGTCAGCGATTAGCATGACGCAGCTGCTGTCTGTGTTTTGGAATTTCATGCTATGTGGTTTCTGGAAGCAGACTGGCTTCCAGAAAATTATCCAAGTGATTGAAGCTTTAAAGAAACAGACCAGAGTTTATTCTAATAAACAGAGTGGGGGGTTCAACATGGGATGGGACAACAAAACACTGCCTCTCAGCACAAGGTGACAGAACACAACACCGTGATCAGTTTTCCTTGCTTGCTTGCTCTCTCTCTCTCTCTCTCTCGCTCTCTCTCCCTCTCTCACACACACACACGCACACACACAGTCATGTAATCATATCTTTTTCGGAACCGAAATGGGAAAAATGCTAATGCCTACTATGCCAACCTTAACCCCTACCCAGCCCTAATCATAAACACAAGTAACCAAACAAAATACAAGAGATTTTGCATTTTTAGTTTTTTTCATTGTAGTCACGGATTTTTATAAAATAGAGTTTTTCAGGAAACTGGTCCCCATAAGGTAAAAAAGTGGGTAGTCATCACGTTGTGGGGACATTTGGTCACCACAAGGTAAGCTATACCTGGACCACACACACACAGACACACACACAGACACACACACAGACACACACACACACACAGGGCCACCTTGCTCTCGTCCAAACCATAGGAGAGAGTTCAGGTGTTAGGGATCAAATCATAGTGGCTCTCCCAGCTGTCTCAGCCTCCCCAGGCAGAACTACCCCCCATGTGGGAATAACCCAGGACAGGGTACCAACCCACCAACACACACACACACACACACACAAACACACTGTGGATGTGGCATCAGCCATTAAGCCCTGTTCCCACGTAAGAAAGTGTTAATATTTGACCCTAGCTTTTAAACAGTGTGAAATGGGGCCCACATGGGGCCCTTTGCCAGTTTCTTCTGCTGAAATAAGCATGTAACTCACAATGACTGGCCATCTCTACAGAGCTCTCCATTCGTGGGACTTGTGATCACCGTTTGAGTTTGGGACATGATTTAATGTATGCATCATTTCTTATTGCTGCTTTTTTCTCACTACTTGAGAGTTTTTGGTTCCTCTCCTCCGTTGTCATCTGGCTTTTTTCATTTCTCTGTCTTTCCTTTTCCCTATTTTTGTGCTGTTCAATCTTATTGATGTTGTAATGTGTCACAACACACCTATGTAAAGTACCTATATAAGCGAAATATAAAAATAAATTGAATTGAATTGAATGTACAATCAATATTAAATGATTATGCCATTAGTCATAATTGTCCTTTATTCATATAAAAAAACAGATTAAAATAACATTTTGTGAAACAAATTAGTTCTACACTGATGTACAATGCATATTAAATGAATGTTTTGTCAGTATTAATTATTATGCATAATTCTTTAAATGAACTCAGTTGAATCATGGATATTGGTTCAGGAACTAGAATGAGTATTTTGGAAAGGAAACATCCTTTTTCAGTTGCTGCATTCACTTTGTGTTCTGAGAACATAACATGAATTTTCTCATGTCTAATTAAACCAACTGAATGTGGAGAGATCATACGTGTCTGTCATTAGACTAATATAAAAGCAATATACATTTTTATTAAGAAATAACAGAAAATAAACATGCATTTCCTACTAACGCCACATGTTACCATATATGGTAAAATGTAAAGTTCACTTAAAAGTTTTATTTTCCTCCTATAGGCTTTTCCCTTCAGTGAAGTACATGCCCAGTGTGTGTTTTTGGTAGGAATG